ACTACCATAAACCAATCATACCATGAAACTATCTTTCAACTTCGTAACCTGAATATAAAAATCATCAAGGTACCTGATGATGACAAAACCTTATCGAAACGTTGTACATTTGCTGTTATGTTAAACTTATATTAAAGTTTTTCTTCATTACCCATTCAAGCCATCTCCAACCATTATTAGTCTCAAAGTGGGTTCTTCATCATCGAACTTTAAATAGATTGTTTTGTATATAGTTTTGGTGAAGTTGTAAGTTGTTCATATTGTTTGTACAGTGAAATAAACTTTGCATTACACTGAAGTTATTAGCCCATTGGTTAAATTACTAGTTACATAAAAGTTGCTTGTGTAGTACAGGGGAAAACTTTTAAACTATTTAAATTTCATAGCTTTACAATGAAGCTCGCTTTTAAATCATATAGGTAGTACATGAATATGGAAAAGACATTAGACCCAAATTAAATCAGTTGAAAAACATTTGTTCACAGTAGCTCAGCAGAAAGACTGAGGTCTTATAATGGGCTTTGATCCCTGCATTGGGTATAACACAGATAACTCTTTGTGTTTAACACCATCATCAAAATTATTATTTTTAAAACATTGGTTGTCTGTAGATCTTTAACCAGATGTTATAATGTGGGGATTGTCTGTAGATCTTTAACCAGATGTTATAATGTGGGGATTGTCTGTAGATATTTAACCAGATGTTATAATGTGGGGATTGTCTGTAGATGTTTAACCAGATGTTATAATGTGGGGATTGTTTGTAGATCTTTAACCAGATGTTATAATGTGGGGATTGTCTGTAGATCTTTAACCAGCCATTATTAGTCTCAAAGTGGGTTCCTCGTCATCGAAGATTAGAGAGAAGTCTCACGTAAAAATCAACACGTTAGTTCTGTTGGTTACTGCCAGATTATAGAGAAGTCTCACGTAAAAATCAACACATCAGTTCTGTTGATTACTGTTTGATGAAAGAGAAATCTTATCTAACATTAACCATAAACATATTAAGATTACTAGTATATAAATTATTTGTATAAAAATGTGAAACCGACAATTTTTTTAACTTCAATTCTAACAGTTTAAGTTAAAAACTACTTTTACATTTGTACAATCAGCATTTTATGCCAAATTATTTTACTTAATTAAAAAGGATACTCTCCAACGTAAAAGTTTTCTTGTGAACAGCAGGATCTACTATTTTTTCATCAACATTTTCATTCTCAACCGCATTGCTACTTTCATCTCCAGCAGCCATCGTGATCATTGACGTGTCATGTAGCGCCACCTGATAATATGGTTATAAGATAAGAAACCAAATATATTAAGTTTTAAGAGAAAAAAAAAATAGTTAAGCAAAATAAGAAGTACGTATATCACTACATATAACATTCGAAAATCAGGAATTTTAGCATTTAAATCACGATTTAGTGCTATTTATGCTAATACATGCCACACTTCTACCATTCGCTCCTGCATTTTTGGTTTGTCCATTTCTTGAAACTACAATGAAATGTGTCTCTCTTAACTATGTATAAAATTCGAGCGTTTGTGACATTTGCACTTACAAGAAAATGCCTTTTCATATTGAGTAAACGTTGTACAGATTCTGCAAAACCCATGTGTTGATTTCATCCAGGTAAATAAATCAAAAATCAAAATGGAAAACAATCAAATGTGTCTGATATAAAACAATGGCGCTATTAATAACTGGTGATCGAACCTACAAGAGAGGAAGCTATATTATATTCAATATTTGTATTCGATGTGAGTATGATAGACAGAGTTGTAGTTGGTGAGCATTTAAGTACAAGCGATTATTGCCCTATTAGATGTGGAATTTTACTACATCTGGAGTTGAAAAAGAATAGTACCCTAATTCCAAATTTCAGGAAAGCCTATTTTGATAAAATGAGACATGACTCTGGCTTCTGTTGATTGAACTAAACAGTTGGGAGGGAAGCTTGAACAGATGTGGGAAGCATTTAGGGAAAATTTGATATGCATACAGAACATACATATTCCCTACAGAAAAAAACGGCAATGGAGCGGAATAAGCCAGTATGGTTTAGTAAAGGTTTAAGAGATCATATTAAGGATAAACATGATAAATTCAAAAAAATTAAACTTACTGGAAATAATAAGGACTTGACTTGGGGGACTATAGGAAATCAAGAGAGCTGATGAAATAGGAAGTTAAAAAGGGCAAAAACTGTTTATGAAAAAGGGTTGGCTGAGAGAGAGTCAAATCAAACAATAAAGAATGCTTTAGGTATATGATGGGTAAGAAAATGCTAGGATGGGGATTGAGCCTCTTAAAAATGATAGGGGAGTTGATCTCAGAAGATTATGAGATAGCAAACTTATTGAATTATATGTTTTCTTCAGTTTTTACGAAGAAAGACATAAGTGTCATGCCTCAACCAGAGCACTTAATATATGGGGAAAATATTGATGCAAAAGATATCATTTTAAGTTCTGAATTTGTAAGAGGAAAGTTGGGAAACTTAGAAATTGATAAGTCCCCTGGACCAGACAACTTTTATCCTAGAGTTTTAAAGGAACTTAAAAATTTTATTTGTGAACTGCTAGGAAATATTTTTTATAGGTCATTGAGCAGTGGAAGAGTATTAGAAGATTGGAAGTTGGCTAATGCTAGTCCGATATTTAAAGGAGGTGATAAACATTGTCCAGGCAATTATAGGCCGGTTAGTCTTACATCAGTAATTAGAAAGGTTTTGGAGAGCGTGATTGCAGAGTCACTTAAAGCAGTTTGGTGTAGTGTCAAAAAGCCAGCATGGTTTCACTAAGGAAAAGTATTGTTTAACAAATTTTCTGACATTCTTTGAGGATGTTACTGCAAGAGTTGATGAAGGAAATACTGTGGATTTGATTTACCTTGATTTTCAGAAAGCGTTTGATAAGGTGCCCCACAAAAGACTTGTTACAAAAATGGAATCTGTGGGTGTGTGAGAAATGTTTTTAAATTGGATAGAAAATTGGCTGGAGGGTAGAAAGCAGAGAGTAGTAAAAAACTGAGTTAGATCTGACTGGATCACAGTTACAAGCAGTGTGCCTCAGGGCTCTGTGCTGGGTCCTCTGCTGTTTGTGATTTATATTAATGATATTGACTTTGGAATGACTAACAAAATATTGAAGTTTGCAGATGATATTAAGATTTTTGGGTAGCTAAATGTATCAAAGATGCTGCAGACTTTCAAGGAGATTTAGATCATTTGATGCCTTAGGCCAATACGTGGCAGATGATGTTTAACTGTCCAAAATGTAAGGTGATGCATGTAGGTTTCAAAATTCCAATTATTGTTACACTATAACTGGGAATGCATTAAATACTGTGTTTGAAGAAAAAGATCCTGCTGTTGTGATCGTAAAAATCACTTAAGTCATGTAAACAGTGTATTGTAGCTAGCAATATGGCTAATAAGATTTTGGGTAGCATCTATAGAAATATTGAATACAAGACAAGGGATATTATTGTTTCACTATATAGATCACTTGTGAGGCCTCATTTAGAGTATTGTGTACAATTTTGGGCTCCCTTCCTCAAGAAGGACCTTGAATTGTTGGAGAAGGTTCAGAAAAGAGCCACTAGGATGATACCTTGAATAGTGAGATTGTACTATCAGGAGAGATTAAAATCTCTAAACTTGTTTTATCTGAAGAGAAGGGTCAGAGGGGATTTGATTGAAGTGTTTAAGATTATTAAGGGTATGATAATATAGATCCACCAAACTTTTTTGTGTTTAGCAGTGAAAACAATAGGACAAGGGGTCATAATTTCAAATTTTGGCAGCGTAGGGGTCGTCTGCAGTTTAAACAGTATTACTTTTCAAACATGGTGGTTGGCTTTGGAATGAGCTGCCTTCAAGGGTGGTGGAGGCAGAAAACTTCACTGAGTCGAAGAAAAAAAATTGGATGAATACATGAGTAGTAAGGGATGGTTATAGTTGGGAACTGGAAGGAACATCCTTGATGGACTAATAAGCTCTTTTTTGTCTCTTTAAAATTTTATGAAATTATGAAATTTAATTACCGGTATCATTTGCATTCGTCTTTTAAATTACATATAATAAGGTGGTTGGAGCATATAATTTTCTATTTTATAACCATACAAAGCTGATTATTAGTAAAAACTACAAAATAAGAGAAAGGAACATTCAACGTTTATCCCAATTGTAAGGACTAAAGCGAATAAGGAAAATTCACTCCCAAAGGAAGCTCTTAAAATTAAATGGTAGGATAAATTTTTAATTTACAAAAATAAAAGTAATTATTCTCAAGAGTATTGTTGTTGTTTTGAAGTTAAGCACAAAGCTACACAATATGCTATCGGTACTTTGCCCACCACGGGTATCAAAACTCGGTTTTTAGCGTTGTAAGTCCGCAGACATACTGGGGGCTCATGAGTATTAAAAAGGTAGTTATTAATGAGACATTCGTTTATGCTCTGCATCATTTTATTCAACTAACATAATGCCAGCATTTATGAAACATAAACAAAGTTTTCGAAGTCAGACTTTTTAAAGCGATTTATTAAACTAAACTGAAGTAACTAAACACAGACTATCAAACAAAAAAAATATGAATAAGACAACTATACATATGAAAAAATGAAAAAGAGGGAGTTCTAATGGTTTAAAATTTTTTAAAGTTTAACTTGTATGGAAGAATTTGTTGTATTGTAAGAACTGGAAAAATATTTAACCAATAAGGAATCAATGAAACACAATGAAAACCAGTAGGTATCAGATATTGGATTTCATGACCATGAAAGTAGACAAACTTTCCACAGATCCGTACTTTACATGGATATGCTTGTGAGTCTTCATCAGCATCAAATCCAT